CTGGTCCTATCAAACATCCTTCTCCGATTTTAGCAGTCTCGTGAACCAAAACATTCCCTATAATGTGGGGACCGGTGGACAACTTAGTTGAAGCTTTCTTTCGCAATGAGTCCAGATAAAGTCTAAGACCAGTAATGTAATCCCTTGGCTGACCAATGTCCATCCAAAACCCTGGTAGGACCATAGCTTAAAGCTTCTTCTCAGCTGCAATCTTGGGGAAGATCTCCTTCTCGATCGAGGTGGGTCTCAACTCGATTCTATCAAGAACAGATGGGTTCAGCAGATAAATTCCGGCATTAATTTTGTTTCCGACAAACAATTTTGGTTTTTCTACAAATTTGTCCACTTGCCCTGTTGATTCTTCCATGACAACCACACCGTATTTCGATGGCTCATCCACCTATGGAATTTTGACTCAAGTCTTACGATCTTTCCAAAGAAAATAAACTGAACATTTTAGAACTGAATTATTACCTTGGTTACCATTATGGAAGCTTCTCCTCCATGAGCTTTGTGGAATTCAATCATTTCTTTGAATGGGTACTCACTGATTACATCACTGTTAAGGACAAAAAATGGCTCACCCAGAATCATCAATGAGTTTGTCTCTAGCCAAAGCAAGGGGACCGGCAGTGCCAAGCGGCTCAGTCTCTTGAGAGCATTTGATAGTGATCCCAACTTTAGCTTCAAATTCCTTTAAGAAGTTCAACATTACCTACAAAATGAAGTGTCCACTGGTGAGCCTTTAAAAACTTAGCTACTACCCTTTCAAGCCTATCAATTCTGCAAATCTTACACATTGAAACACCTTACATACCTCCGGTTGGTAATTAATGGCCAAAACAACTTCGGTTACACCAACAGCTTTGAGAGCCTCAAGCTGTAAAATCCAAAATATATCATCCCAATTATCAACAAGCTTATCTCAAGAAAACAACCTTTAAACCCAAAAGTACATTTCCAAGTATTCAGAAGCTTAGCATAAGGCCATGATGCAGAAGTACACCTGAAGCAGGATCATAGGCTTGTTAGCAAATTCAACAAGCGGTTTAGGAACACTAAGGGTCAATGGCCTCAACCTTGTTCCAAATCCTCCAACAAGAATAAGTGCCTTCATTGTGACACACCTTCTAGGCTTCTACTTACCTGTGGAAACTAGAGTCAGCATGTTAAGCAGCAAGGTAATTCAGGTTAAAATAGGAACGCTACATAACCCATTGCAACCGAATTCCCATAGAATCTTCAACTTATACATAGAGAAGTCCACATTGACATTTGTCGATCCAAAACAATGATTAAAGAGTAATGACAACCAAAAAGAATAAATCCAAGAGTGTCACGGATACATCACATGTAAGGAGAAAAATCCAGATGAACTAAAAGACAAGCAAAAGGGAAAAGCCCCGACATTCAACTATGCACCATACGCCAGAACATGATCCTAAAACCTAAGAGCAGTACTGAAAAACTATCCGATAATGGCTTAGCCGATATTGTGACAAAATCTCCACCTATAACACAGGCTGGTATGTTTAACGAAAACGATCAAGTGAATCACATGGAACCTTAAACAAAATCCAATCGCAGTACAAGTTATGTATTTTGAATAATGATTTAAACTACATTATATTTCCTTTTTCTTTATTTTTTTGTCAGAGTAGTTTTTCAGTGATTTAAGTATATCAAGAATTTCCTTTCCAGCTTCCATTCTCCAATGTAGCTACGGAAAACAAGAAACCAACATTAAAATAACACAACTTTCCAACCAAAAGCATTTAAAATGACAATTCAAAGGAAAGGAATCAGAACATAATAAAAGGAAAATAACTTTTTCAGCAAAGTCAGTATTTGATCTGTTCACAGCAAATTCTTGACCTTTACAAAGTATTTCATAGTAATCATAACAAAAATAAAACGATATTATGCCATTGATAATAAAACTTTAGTAAAATTCAAAAACGTCATTAAAATCGTGATAAGTCATAATTAAACAAATTAAATTCGTTCTTTCCTTTCTAAAAAGTTTTTACATCTCAATTCTTAACAAAAATATAGCATTGCAAATCAAATTAAACTTCAAAATTCTCCCAAAAATCATAATAACGGAAGACAATTTAGACAAATGCAACATCACATTGTAAACTCGAACGATATATTCAAGCTAAACAATTAAGAACCTGGAGAGACGAGACCGTAAAAGGCTCGAAAACACCAGAATTCAACAATCGCCTTTTAAGCCGTACCAGATCCAAACACGAGCAGAGTTCAACCAACAAACACGAGCCCGATTCGATGCAAAAGAAATAAAAATAAACCAAAAAGGGCGGGGAAAAGAGTCGACTCGGAAGAGTTTCTTTCGTTGGAAGCTGAGGTGGCATGTGAGGAAAAGGGGACGTCGTTTGAGAGAAGGTAGAGCGGTATTATATACGAAGCCAGGGTGAAATGACGACGCCAAATAATGTTAATGTGTTTGGCGGATTCCAAATTAAATATTAAATTTAATTTTGGAACGACCTTTTTAGTGACGCGTTGGATATACTAAAATATAAGTTTAAAATAAACAAAATATTTTATATTTTAATATAATAACATCATAATTGATTAAATTCTAAATAAAAATTTCATTTCTCTCCAAAAAAAAAAAAAGAAACATTTCAGCTTTTTTATATTTAGAAAAATAACATTTTTAATCAAACTGTTATAATTATAGTTGGTTGATTTAAATATTGTTATTTAGAGAACTTTTAAATTTTTGTTAATTTTAAATTAAGTAAATTATTTGTTAAGAAAGAGAATTTAGCCTATGTATCTCTTAAAGTTGAAAGTAAATAAATAAAAATAATCTATGAGATATTGCTATTTTTTAGTTAGTATATAATATATTTCTAACTCTAATTAGATAAAAAGTAAAAAAGAATATTTTCATAATTATGAAAATTTTAAATATTTTTTATGATTTTGTATAATTTATTAAATAAAATATTTGTTCTTGTTCTAAATTTAAAACTTTTAATTAAATTCATATTAGTTTTATTAATCATTTTGATAGTTCAAAATTAACAAGTTTAATCATGAACTTCTCATATCATATGTATTTGAATATGATGGTTTGAGAAAAAGCTATGACAATATTCTTCAAACAACGTAGTACCAGACAAAAAGATGCTTTTTATTACATGTATCAGAACTAATATTTTGTATTCTTAAAGTTTATGATCCCAAATACATGGGGACAAATAAGCCTACTCTCCTTAACGTATTCGATGGATTCTTCACAGAACTAATAGGTTTTCCTTCTTAAATCTGAATTCTTAACTTTTCTGAGACATTTTTTTTAAGTATAGACTAAAGGGACACTCGAGGAGTTATTAAAACCTTAATTAAGATGATTTCTTAAATTAATTTATACGGTCCTTCCAAACATCTACTTTTTCTCATCTGGATAATATTCGACTAGAGCAAAACCAATTAATGGCGTAAGCTGTTGAAGGTTCCTTAATTTAAATATTATCTTGTTCATATCTTTGTCTGAATTACATTACATTGTTCAAGATATGTGAGAATATATTATGAAATCATTATGAAATCACGGAAATCATATATTCTCATAGAATATATTATGTTATTGAAGCAAATCTGTTTCTTGTTTATGTTAGTTTAATGTAACCGACGGAAGACTTTAACCGAGTGGTTAAGCTCTCAGCCTCGTATCAGCATAAAAATGCATTAATCTGTTAGGACAAGGGCTTCAACTTGAGCATGACTGATGGCATTTCTTGTAATCAAAAGCATTGGAATGGCCAGGAAGTAAAGTGGTGGTCGGAATAGGGAAATAACCTAGGATTAAGGTAGAAACCAGCAGCATGAAGAGGATGATACCATTGTTGTTCCCACCAGTGATCAATAATATTATGAATCCCACCTCCTTTGAGGAATTTACCACATTTACACTTCAACTCTACCTTTTCACCATTCTTAAACATTTGGCAATGCTTCCATGCTAGGTCATGCTTTTGTGGTCTTATTGGTATTGGTTCCAAATTTGATGACATTTTCTCACAAATCACAACCTTTAACATAAACAACATCAAACATTAACTCAATCCTAACAACAACAATATTCAAAAATTGATCCCTCCGGTCACTTATTATTTTTTGACTAGATTATCGACATATTCAAGAGATTTGACAAGACCTAAATTTACTAATTGAGGTTGTATTTATTCGTCTTATTGACCTGCAAACAATAGTCATAATCCGAGGTCTGACATCAACACAAATAAAATGTTAATATATAAAACCCTATGAGGCAAGAGAAGGGATCTTCTTCCAGAACCTTTTCACTCACTTCCTTCGAGAATCCTCTCATTCTCTTCATTATCATAATCATCGATCAATCATTGTTAAATCACTTACTGTGATTCTCTGTCCAAGTCAGGAGAGATGAACACCAACGATCGATATAATTTAATTAACTTACATAAAATAATTTTTAATAATTTAGTATAATCTTTTACAAAAAAAATATTTTTTCCTATTTTAATATATATTTTTAAAGTATTTGATCGAGTTTGATGACACTTAACTTAAACCTAACCTAGTAAAATACATAAACAAAAATAAAAAATAAATTTATGAAATATTTATGGTGATTTTATTTTATTTGTACTAATAAATTTGTAACTTAGATTAATTAATTTCACCATATAATCATTTCTTTTATATTTTTTAATATATAATTTCAATAATTAATCCTTCAAATTGATACAAAGTCAAACTAAATGCCGCAGAAATTTGAGAAAAAACAAAATCCTTAGCCGCCTATGCAGATGCAGTTGAAGTTTTATATTCCAATACTAAGATTAATAAATTGGTGAAGTCAAAGCTGGAGCAAAATGCCAAAACTTTTCCATCAACAACTAAAGTCATCATTTAACTCAGTACAAGCAGCTTGTCAATATCTATATATTTTAACTCAGTACAAGGGGGAAGCAAACAAGAGGAAAAGATCAAATGGAAAATATAGGTTCTGAGGAAGAAAAAGTAAGTGATTGGGGTATATCTCTTCCGGTTCCAAGCGTCCAAGAGCTTGTGAGAAATGATCCTCAATCAGTTCCTCAAAGGTACACACAACTGCCCGCAGACAGGCCAGTGGTTCCTGATATATCACCATTGTCATTTGACATTCCAATTGTAGATTTTGCCTTGTTAGCTAAAGGGGATGAAAATGAAACAGGAAAGCTAGACCTCGCTTGCAAAGAGTGGGGATTTTTCCAGGTAAAATCTAGCTTCTCAGTTTTTGTATAGTCCTGTTTCTGTAATAAACCATGGGATGCTGCAATTTTGACAGATAATAAACCATGGGGTGGCTGAAGAGGTGCTACTTAATATGAAGGCAGCTATTGCAGCTTTCTTTGAACTTCCACTAGAAGAAAAGAACAAGTACGCGCAGGCCGGTAACGATTTCCAGGGATACGGGCAAGCGTATGTTGTCTCGGAGGAGCAGAAACTTGATTGGTGTGACATGGTATTCTTAATTACACTCCCACATGAGATTAGGAACCTAAAGTACTGGCCACACGCCATACCAGGTTTCAAGTATGCATTCTTTCTTTTTGCTGCTTGTGAAAATACAGACTTGAAAATAAGCAATCCCCGCAATAGATTTTAGTTTCAATTATATGCTCTCTTTTTTTCTCCCCTTTGGCAGGGAAGCTATAGAAAGGTACTCAAAAGAAGCTAAAAGGGTAGCTGAAGAGATATGTGCCAACCTATCATTACTTATGGGCATGGACAAAGACGGTCTGAAAAGGTTTTACGGCAAGACGAAACAAGCCATGCGACTGAACTATTATCCACCCTGCTCGAGGCCTGATCTCGTTCTCGGTTTTAATCCTCACTCCGATCCAGATATCGTAACATTACTCTTGCAAGATGATGAGGTTCCTGGACTCCAAATCCGGCATAAAGGCAAATGGATTCCAGTTAAGCCGATTCGTAACGCTATCGTGGTGAACGTTGGCGATGTTGTGGAGGTACTCACAGTTCAATTCTTTTGATATCTTAAGGCCTAAATCTACTTCATCTTAAAGGCTTTCCCGTGTTTTGTTTCTGCAGATTCTGAGCAATGGGATGTACAAAAGCATTGAGCACAGAGCAACCACAAATGAGAGCAAAGCAAGAATTTCACTTGCAACCATTATGATTCCATACGATGAACTGGAGATCGGTCCGATGCAGTGTGCGGTGGATGATGGTCGGCCTCGAATGTATAGGAACATCAAATACCTTGATTACGTGAGGTACACGTTGGGAAGGAAAACGGAAGGCAAAGCTCACCTTGACAATATTCTGAAAATTAACACGTCGTCTTTCTAATTACTCCGTCTTTAATTGTTGAAATGAACCCCTCATATTTCAATTTAATGTTGTTTACGTAAGCACTTCATCCATGTTCCAAATGAAGTTGCTATTTCTAACACTAACCATTCTGTGCTAAATGTTAAAAAGAGAAAACATTACTATATTTGTCTTTGATCACGTAACTCAAAATACAAAATATTCTTTATTTTATTTTATTTTATACAAAATTATACACAATCAAATTTAATTTCTCAAGTAACTAAAATACAATAAACAATTACTCGATAAATGTATAATTGATAACAGTCACCATCTAACTACGTATGGCATGTGTGAATATTAGATCACTAGTGGCCCAAAAACAATAGGAAAAATATAAAAATGAGATAGAAATAAAAGAAGTACAAGGATGTGTTGACATGATAGCCATTAAATTATTGGTTGGTCTAAGAGACGGATACAATTTCTCCCATTGTATTATGAAATTATTTTTCCATATAAAAGTATGGTTCAGTTGTCATTGATTACGTTTGTATGGTTGTTTTAGTATATTTGGATTATTATTCTCATCATATTTTGTAATAGTTGATTTAAATATATTATTAATTATAATTATATATTCTTGTTTTACTTTTTTATGATTTTGGGATGAAATTATAAATTTATAGTAAAAGAAATTATAATTTTAGCAATTATAGATGATATGATGGTAGTATGACATAGTTGATTAAATTAATTTGAAGCAAGTTGCATCTCTTACTATTGACTAAATATTGCATTAAATTAATGGAACCAGATTTTTCCTCTTCAGAACAGCTAATTAAAATACCCAATTTATGCTAATAAATTGAATTTCATTAGTTTTTAATTATGATAGACTATTCAGATAGTAATTCGCATTAGGGGTGAGCATTCGATCAATTCAAGTCGAGTCGAGTCAAAAAATTTCAAGTTATTCGAGTTGACGAGTCTTATTGTATAACTCCGAGTTGACTTGAAATTTTTCGAGTCAAATCAAGTTTATAAAATTCTAGTCGAGTCGAGTCAAATTTTTGAATTTATATTTAAATTTAATTGTTAATATTTATAATATTATAATATTATTTGATTCCAATTTAAATGGTTTTTATAACCATATACAATACATATATATATATATATTGTATTTTTTCATATGTGATTTACATATATCATACAAAATCGATGGACTCCACTCAAACTTGAAAATCAATCTACATTTCTAAAAATTTTGAGTTATTCAAGTTGTATTTTATAACTTGAATTTTTTTCAAGTCGAGTTTATGAAATTACAACTCGAAGTCAATTTGAGTAGAGTCGAAAAAAATCAATTTTTCAAGTCGGGTTGAATTTTGTTTATCCCTAATCTGTATATTAGAAAAATTTTAGTTTGATCATTTTTGTAACACCCACAACCTGTACTCGACCCGAATACGAATATGATGTGTCACATTGACATTTCAAAACATTTACTTGTACAAAATAGTGAATAATTTTAAAACTTTTATTAACACACAACTATATTTACATAAATTACAATCATATGATTTTACAAAACCGATTAGAGCATATCAGATTCAAACTTTTATTTACATGCCAACTACAGTCAGTATTATGAAATATATATATTATTTATTTCTCTTCTGATCTGACCTTCAGTAATGAGAAACTGACATGTCTTGCTCTTCATCGTTCCATAAGCTCGTCAAAACCTACGTGTGAAACACTCACAAGCTAAGTCGTTAACTTAGTGAGACATATAAAACATATAATTTAAACTCTTACTTATAACAATGCATGTACAATTAATATTATCATATCATGCAAAACCATATAACATTTCATATAATCCAATATATTCATATACATAACTCATCCTTTCCATCCTTACCTCATTTCATTATCTTTTATATCTTTTAGTCAATCTTAATTAAACAATACACACAAAACAACTTATATTCTATCACGCATAGTATCATATAATCCTTGTAATCCATTCCTCATAACATGTCACACATACACATATCACATATAATATATTTATATTATTGCTTGATTGGCCCATGTATACTGTTGAGAACTTAAGGTATGTGAGTACATTGAGGTTGTGCACAAATGTTGTCATCACAGCTCGTATAAATGCACCGAAGTGCCACATAGAATTTACATCGAAGTGCCGCATAGAAATGCACCGTAGTGCCATATAAGATTGTCCATAAGAACCACATAGAAATTCCTTAAGAATCATATACATATACCAAGGATCAAGTAGGTGTCTCAAAAGACCTCATACATGTTCCAAAGAATACATATATGTCCCAAAGGACCACGTAGAATTGTCCCAAAGGACCACGTAGAATTGTCCCGAATGACCGCGTAGACCCTCGACTCTTGGCATGCCAACTATACCTCTAGATCTCATGACACATAACATGGGAATTATCTTTATACTTATCATTTCACATAACACGTAGTTCACTTTCACATATCACGTAACTTATGTCACAAAACTTGGATCACATATATATATAGTCACGTAGATCACTTTTGCATATCTTATATCTTATTATTATGACTTCTCAAAGTCATACGTACATTCATATGTTCATTTTCTTCTTCTCATAATCACATATACACATAATCTCATAGTTCTTTCACATATCTCATTATAAATTTTCATAAGATCACATCCAGTTATGTAGTTCATTTCCATACAATTCGCATATACATATATTCTTTTTCATATAATCACATAGTCGTATAATATTTCATATGACCTCATATATCACATCACATAGATACACACTCCAATACTCATAGTTACATATTACATCATTCAGGGTCATATAACTTCTATCACAAAGTCACTTATTTTATCTATTGTTCTCATATGTTCATATTTATTATAAAACACATAACTTATGTCATATTTATAAACATATATCTTATATTATATGTGCATATCATCACTTTATATTCAAGTTCCCTAAGTGTTATATTATTCTTAGTTCATTCTATAATTCAATCTTATCTAGTTTTATTCAATTCTCCATAAATCATATAACTCTAATGCACTAATTCTCATAATTGATCATACCACTATGTACTTGTCTCATCCATGTTTCTATTATTTGTATAACCTTTACACATGTTTACTAAGTTCATATTGTTCTCAGGAATTCACTTTCATCATATTCTCATATTATTACACATTTTATTGTTGAATGATGTTCGTTATAACAAATTTAAAGAAAGAAACGTTTTTAGGAATAGTACTATACTGTATGAACAGTACCGTGAACAATACTGAATGCTAAAAATTTTCAGAATGCTACAGGGGTATCGATACCCTGCTACATTGTACTGATACCCTGCTATAGTAACTCCGTCAAACATATATAAAACTCGTAAAATTTAACCTTTTATCACTATAAAGTTATCATTCACATATATACGTTTAAAACATTACAAAAACCCAATCATATGATTTATATTTATTCTCTTATAACTCTTCATACTCATATATTTTCATTTCCATATATCACATAGATCTTATCACATTACTTATCTTTTATACTCACATAAAACACATAGCACATACCAAAACCTATCAACTCGTATAATCAAGTATACATACAAATCATGTCATTCACATACTTATAATCATAAATTCATGCATTATAATATAGGAAATAGACTTACCGCAAGTCTTAATTCCATAGCATAACTTACCCTTATTATCATGTACTCACCTTAGCTACTTGCCAATACCAATTCTTATTCTCTCTTGAATCTTACTCTGATGACCCATCTGAACTTTGATGTCGTTTCAGAACTTGCTTGTACTCGATATCTACACAATCATACATTTTTAAGGTAATTATCAGATAACTACACCTTCTAATTTGATACTAATAACTTAAACGAATTTAATATACCGATATTCACTTTTTCCTTTAGGGGGTATCGATACCCTCCCTAAGGTATCGATACCCTTATTACATTCTGGAATTTTTTGTTTAAGAGGGTATCGGTACCTATTGAATGGGTATCGATACTCTTTGCCCATAAATCACATTTTAAGCACGAAATTCACTCTTTTCAGCTTCAACACTTCATGTTTCCTCCCCTTTCATGTTCTTAACTTACAAATACATGCTTAAACTCATTTATACCCATTTATCTCATCTTAAACCTCAAAATCCTCTCCTCTTTATGAACTTCAAGAATCATACCCAATTTTTAACATGTTTTAAATCCAATTCTAACATTTCATATCTCTTAATTAGACTGATGAAAAGTTAAATTTAACTTCAAATTCAACTTATCAAATCTTTTCCAGAAATTCATTTAGAAACTCAGTCACTTTAATCTCTCATAACTTCTTCATCTTTTGATTTTAAGATAACTTAAGCTTTCCTTAAGCTTAGTTATCATCTAATGATCAAAACCCAACTTAAATTTCAGTTAATAATCAACAACAAAGAAATCTTACCTTTGCTTTGCTTCCACTGGGAGGAGGAAGAAGAAGGGAGAAGAAGAAGAAGGGAGAAGAAGAAGAAGGGAGAAGAAGAAGAGAGTTTTCCAGATTACTCTCCCCTACGTGTTTCTCTCCTATTAAAGGGGGAAAATATATTTCATGTCAAATGACCAATTTGCCCTTTATTTCATTTAATAATTACTAACAACTTTCAGGAAATATTTCCAAATAAATCATTGAACTATTCAACTTTTCTACTTTAATCACCAACTTCTGAAATTTTTACAATTTATTCACTAACTCGGTATTGAGGATGTTACAGTTTTAATGAAACTTGACTTTTTATCAAGGATTTAAGAAAAAAGGATTCCAATTTCACGTCTTAAATAAAATGAATAGACTAGAATCATCAGTATCCTATAAAACTCAATACTATAGTAGAAAGATTCATATTTTTTTTCTACCATACTATCTATATCTATTATTGGAATGTATAAAGATACAAGCTTAATATACTTAATATAGATGAATCCACAATATGTATCTTCATACATGTCGATATCAATTAAATATATGTACTGTGCATAGTATCTCAATTTTATTTCTTCATTTGATATATTTTAACGAGAACTTAAAATTTCAAAATTATAAAATAATCACCAACAATTCATTTTTAGACAGAAAATTTAGGTGATGATTAATAAAATTGACATTGTCATAACCATTTTTTGAATAAATAATTAAATTTAAACAATTATGAGTTTGTATTGAAAATTTTGGATTTTTGTTTAATTTGAAATTTGGAGTCGCCATCGACCTCTGGGTTAGGTAGGTCGAATACCTAAAAATATCTTTTAAAACAATTTTAAGAAAAATCATTTTAAAGAAAAAAATTGGCCTTCGTATCACCAAAATTGAACTTCTAACGACTCACTAAGAGTATAGAAGAGTTGTAAATGTGTTACCTTGCTTCTTTGGTGGCTAGAACTCTCCTCAACACAACCAATGCTCAACTTTTATTTGTCTTTTGAGTTGGAAATCTCTCTCACTTCCTTTGCTTGACCCAAACTAAACTTGAAGTCCTAAATCCTTCAACTTGAAGATGAAAGAAGAAAAAGGAAAAGATGGAAAAAGAAGATGAGTTTTTGGTGGAAAATGAGGAGTTGTTCACGTAAACCTCATAAAATAGGGGAGTTTTCAGCTTTTGAAATAAGAATTAGGTAAAATGTACTTTTATTCCCTTTATTTTCTATTTCATATGACATTTATCTTTTGTTAACTGACACTTAGGCCCATACTCAAGCCCAATAACACTAAACTGGGTCTAATTATCTTATAAGGTCCAATTAGGCCCAACTTTAGGTTTCAAGTTGACCTGAACTATCAACTTGAGATTCGAGATGTTACATCTGATCTACCTGTCGACTCTGAATATGTTCTTGCTTGGTTTGCCCAAATCTTCTATACGTTGGATCTATAAAAGAAAAAATTAACGTTAGTACGCCTAAATATTTATTTTTATTATTTATTTATTTTATTTTTTTTGAAACGATGTTGTCTCATGTGAGAAGGAAAAATGATTTTTCCCGGCCCATCGATCCACCGACCTAAACTTAAAAAAATCGGTAATTTTCTTTAAAAGAATTACTCAACCGAGCCAGATACTCAACCCATGATTTTTCTCGGGTAGTTGGGTTGGATCTGCAAAATATTTTATAATTGGGTATCCAATTTGACCCGGTAATTTTAATACGTATGTAGGTATGTATGTAGGTATGTACGTATGTACGTATATACGTATGTACATATGTATGTATGTGTATAATCTAAATTACATTTTTATTTTAGAGTACTTAATATTTTTACCTTAAAATTAAATTTAAATCCATAAATTCTTCAAGTTTGTATTATGTACATTTTAAATTTTTAAAATTTTCAAAAAAGTTTTTATTAATTTGATAATATAAGATTAAAAAATTCATTATGGATGTTAATATTTTTAATGTTTTCTTTTGAAAATAAATTTTAATATATATATCTAAATATTTATATTTAAAATTAACTTGAAATCACTAATTTTTGTGTATGGATCGTGAATCATGAACTTTTAAATTTTTTATGTATTTCTTATGTGATTTTTAAAAAAATAAATAAATTAATATATATATATATATATATGAACCGGGTACCGGTGACTCGAAAATATAGATACCTAAATTTTAAGGGCACCTGACTACTAGATACCCGAACATAACAGGTAGAGTCATGAGCCGAGAAATATACTACATGGAGAACTAGGTACTTGTGATTCGAAAATGCAATACACAGTTTTAAACGCCCCTGGTTTATGCTTAAAAAAAATCAAATGTCAGAAATATGTCGTAAGAAAAAGAAAATTATGTCGTAAAGATGAACAAAGCTGAAACTGGATCCAACAAATCAATGAAATCGAGATTTCTCCATTTAGTTTTGTTGTAATCGAGATTGTAGGAGAGTCATGTTACTAGAGAGACGATTACGAAACAGATTAAGTGCAGAAATCCCTTGCAAAAGGCCTGATTCCGATGGAATAATTTGGGTCAGATTGTTGCATGAAATATCATTATTGTGTGGTCCAACCTCACATCAAATAGCAGTAGCAGTTATATCGTCTTTAATCAATATAACTTTTAGGGATTGGATCAGGTTAGAAAAGTTCATGAATTCCAGATTTTCTAATGCATTTATCTCTAATTCCACCAAATAAGTCAAAGGGTCCTTGAGGACTCCAATAAATTGATCTAGAATACAATTCGCCTTAAAAATTTGCCAAACCACTTCCTTTGGGATGAGGAGGGGACCCACCATAGTTCACCTCCATGTGAGGGATGGTCCGCTAAGAATGTGAATACCCTACGGGGAGATGCCCAGTGGAATACTTCCAATCTAAGGGGGTCATTATATCGCTAAAGCTTGCGTGTCATTGATGTGACCATTGACCAAACAAGCACCAAAAGGCTAGACCCCTTTTGTCCTTATTTGAGGCCAGATTCTCAGGGTTTAGGGTTTGGCCCACAAAAGTGTGGCCTTGTTTGGGGGTAGACTTCCTTTTAATAACACACCTCCCTTGGTTTAGTACTTTTTAATTTTAGGGTTTGGACTCAAATCTATTAACCTTTGTCGACACCGTTTTCCGTCTGAGTGGGGAAAGACTGATACCGACTCGGAGTTTTTCTCTTTAAAAATCATTTAAAATGTGAGGAGTCGCCACCAATCATTTTAGGTGAGATTAGAACACCGTAAAAATCATGTGATTTTAATAAAACGTTTTATTTTAATAAAATACTGAGTTTTGAGATCTGCGAAAATCTAGAAATCAGGTTCGGGAGTCAGTTACGCGTGGGGAATGATTAGCACCCCCACAAGCGCCAAAAAATTGGTACCTAGTTGATTATCCTATATTTAAAATCGGAAATTTTGAGTTCGATCTTTATTTAATTTAAAAATCATTAATGATGCAGAGTTTGAAAAGGATATTTGTTTATCGAGACCGATAGTATTCGCCCCCGAGCGTAAATGCGAGAGATCAACTATTGTGTCTAATAACCGAACATTGCCTCATTTTTAGAAAACATGATGTGGTTTTGAAAAGGATGTCGACTTATTTACGGAATTAACAATAGTCACCCCTGAGCACGATCGCGGGAGATATATTATTACTTCCTTAATAAGTGAACAGTGCCTTAGATTTATAAAAATAATGCGATCAAGCAAAATTTTATTTATCCTAATTATACTAAAAATAAATTAAGGCTTTTTCTAACTTACAGAGACAAATTATGAAAATTAAAGAATCTAAGGAATTAAATCTAAAATGTAGGCTCTAATATTAATCATATTTAATTTTAATTAATTATTGAATCGAATAACTAAGATGGTCCCTCGAACGTTTACGCGAGGGCCGACTCAAATTATCCCCTAAATTAAAAGAATACTTTGAAATCTAAGCTAAAATGGAAGCTCTATCTAACCTATTTAATTATGTCAATATTTAAAGTCTAATTGAAGTTTAGGAACTAAAAGCGTCAAGGAACTAAAATACCGAGCTCTAAAAAGATTTAAAAATCTAAGGACCAAAATTGAATGTTTTTAAAGTTAAGGGACTAACCTAATTATTAAACTAAAATTTTTAGAAACTATTAATCATTAATTAAATTTAATCGAACAATTGATTCGAGTATTCGAGTGTATAATGCGAAAACTCAACTCGAATTGCCCCCTAATTAAACTATAGTGTCATCCTAATTTCTAATTTTATTCCGATATTAATCTAAAAAACTAAATTTAGAATTA